TCCACACCTTGAAGACACATGAGAGTTTTTTCATTGTGAGACCCTAATGGAGTTCTTGGGGGTAAAATCCATAAATAGTTGAGGGCCCCCCTATGTATCATCCAGCAATTTGTCAATGTGTCTTTTAAGTGTTCCTCCCAGTTTATGGCCCCGGTTGCTTCTGCTCTATATAGTGGATCTTGACTATGATTTTCTGAATTCACTATCTATGAAAAGTTTGGGTACTGCTTTGCCCTTTGATCTCGATTCTCTGATGACTCCACAAAAAGTAATTGCTTTTCCATTTTTTTCAGGGTTTTTTTCTTCTATAAACTAGACAGATGTCTTTACATATAAGCACTTTAAATATCAGATGTGGAACCATACATTTCCCCCAAAAAAATGATTCTTTATTTTCCTGTTACTCTTCTCACATTTATAAATGAGTTTGTTTGGGTTAGAGAGCCACTTCAAATGGGAAGTCTGAAGAGAGAATAGAGAACATCACGCTTCTAGGGGAAGATACTGAGCAGACTAGTGGTACAGGGAAGATTAATATTTCACAAACCACCTGGGTGTGGTGGCATGTTGCTGAATAAAATCTCAATATAGTATATCTAGCTCTAGATTGTGTTATTTAGAGAGTTTGGGATCTTTGCACTTCATCATGAGTCATATTCCCATGTCAGTTGTCACTGGACCAAGCCTTCCTTTGTATTGAGCTGATCAGAATAGTGCTTAGGCCCTGAGTGCCTCTAGGTGAGGCTGGAGCCAGAGTTCTGTCCCAGGTTACAGGGTCCTAGCTGAGGGAGCATAGATGAAATGGTGGCCTCAGATTTTATGTCCTCCTTAAGCAGAGAACTTCTGACTGAGAATACTAAGAATGAACCTCATGGATACAATCCTCCTTTGAGTTTTTCAAAGAAGAAAAAAAAAATTGAAAATATTTATCCCCCTTAAAAATTAATAAAAGATAAAAATGCAAATTACATTAATTGAAATAGAGAGTTGAATTAACAATTGGATCATAACTGACTAAGTTTCCAATGTAGAGGAGTGAAAGGAATGTATCATAGCTCCTCATTCTTTTCTTTTTGTTCTCAGCATCAGGGCAAAACCAAGAGGTGGAAGAAAGGTGGTAGACAGAAAGGTAAGGTTCTGCCTATTTTATGTGAGATCTCCTTTCTGTATTTTCCATGAGGTCCTAGGGCCATGGTCTTTGAGGACGTCATCTAGATACAGTCCCTCTCAGAAAGTAGAGCCTTCAGAGGAGAGGCTTATGGGAAGACACTCAGAACCCGAGACACTTCTCAGATTCCCTGCTCTATAATTCCTGGGTATGAAGCAGTGATGGACTTGGGCAATGGGTATTGCCCATAGGTGGCCATGTGAGATGTCGAGAGCCAGACTACTGACTACTAATTTTAAAAACAACTAACTTTCTGGAACTGAAATTATCCTTTGAGATAACCACTGACCAATGCTCCTCAAAGGTTTTTTTTTTTTTTTTAAATATAATATGAGATAATATATGTGAAAGCCCTTTGTGAATGAGAAAACAATATACATCTGAGCTTTGTTATTATTACTGAACATGTGACCTTGAATCCTAATTTTTTGGGATCTCCAAATCCAATTTACCAAGGGTACCTTTCAAGAACATTCTAAATAGCCTCCTATAAGATGTCTTTGTTTCTACCTTCATCGCTTTCCTGGTTTCTCAGGTTGGAAAACTTACTGGAGCGAAGTAGAGGAGGCAAGGAAGATGCTTTCTCTTCTGCAAAGGTGACTAAACTTTATTGCTTTGATTCTGCAATCCTCTTTTTAGCAATGTCTAATGCTCTTTAGCAGAGTCTAAGGCTTTTTAGTAAAATCTAGGGCTTCAGTGAAGTCTGGGTTTGACAAGGGAAAGCATCAGAATCAGAATCAGAATGTAAAAGGAGTACAAGTTATATTGTGAGATCACGGAAGCATTGAAACTGAAAGGATAGTATACAGTGTGAAGCCCTACCTGTGCCAGACCTGACAAAGACCGATATGTTTGTTCTGGTCCTGGCAATAGTTTTTATTTATTTTTTTATTTATTTGCTTGTTTGTTTTATTTCAGCGAGGAAGGGAGAGGGGAGAGAGAGATAGAAACATCAATTATGAGAGAGAATCATTGATTGGCTGCCTCCTGCACACTTCCTACTGGGGACCAAGCCTGCAACCTGGGAATTAAACCCGGGACCCTTCAGTTTGCAGGCTGACGCTCTATCCACTGAGCCAAACCAGCTAGAGTCTGGCAATAATTTTGTACCTCCTTTCTTTTGCAGCTGCCAGGGCCATCATCATGATATCCAATTTCATCAATTATTATGTCCAGAACCCTCCTGTGAGGAATGTAATAATGCAACTGCTGAGGTCAACCAGCCGCTGTTCCCAGAGGACTTGAAAGATGCTACTCCTTTGGCTTCCACAGTTTCTGGTACTGAGTCATCATACTCTCTGTCTCTGCCTTCTCAGTAGTCCCACTAAGAGACCTAATCCTTATCCCTCTGCCTAAGCCTTTCCACCACCACTTCATATTTTCTCCCCTAATCCAATGACCCCATAGTTGACTGTTTCACCTTCACCATTGTGTTACTTTCTGTCACTAGACCTTTTCCTACTTTAGAATCAATATTCCCAGTGGACCATTTCCTACCCAAACCCCTGCCTTACCCGTCTCCCACCGCATGACAATCAGAGAGTGGATCCTATTCTCTAATAAGAATCTATTTTGTCTCTGAATACTATCTTCTCAAGTAATCCCATCCTTACCCAAGATATCAATCAACTTCTTAACAGGTTTGTCACAGTCAACGAATCCCACTGATTCATTTGCTTGTCAACACATCCCACCAATGCTGCCTACTTCACCACTACCAGACTGCCCTTCCACTGTGATTCAATCAAAATCAATTTTCCCCTTACTGAAGCCTGTTCCAGAAAACTTGTCTCCACATAGTACTGGTGGATTGCCCACTCATCAACCAACAATCAGAGACACTGAGAATTCGAATTTGTCAATATCAGACAATTCCTGTTGGCAGAATTATGCCAAGAACATGTTTCTCCCCACATTATCATGTTCTGATTTTCAGCAAGAGCATGTTTTTCTCCATCTATCAGAGACTGGTCTCTGGGGAGACTCTGTTTCAAAGCACATGGAGGCTAGTAGCCATTCTTTCCTTGGCCTCAATGTCCAGGCACTTCTGGAGAGACAAATACAAAAGAGAAAGGCTTTGCAGATATTAGAGAAGGAAGAAAATAAGCAGGGACCATTTTCAAAACAAATTTGGTCAGAATACCAACAGTTATCTTTAGGGAATTCATTCCAACTACTTGATGTACAGAACACCATAGTCCCCCAAACTGCCTGGAACATTGAAGACAAACCAGAGCAGCTGCACAATAGCCAGGCGCTATTTTATGCCAAGACACTGGAAGAAAATTTGCAGCAGAAATATAGCCAGCTCTTCTGGGGTCTTCCTTCTTTGCACAGTGAGTCCCTAGTAGCTACTTTCATGGTTACCAGTAGTAGTTCCCCACTAGATAGTCACTTTGTCTTATTCAATGGAATGTGTAATGCTTCCTTAATCAAAATGCAGCATCAAGGATCTCCATTTCCTCATTTCCATTACCTTCCCCTAAATGTAGATCCTCAACATTTGCCTCAAATTAAGCCCCAAACACAATATTTCACTCAGGTCCAACCCCAACCCCACTTTCAATCCCAACTTGCAATCCTACCATCTTCTTCATCCCAGATTAGGGATTGTGGAGTGTCTTTCAGTAGATCTCAGAATGAGTCAGACTCTAATATTTTAAATGAAAATGAACACCTGGAATGCCATATATTGCAGAATCAACAGGAAAGTTTGCAGGGTTTAGTCCCTATTTTCCAAAACCCTCAAGATACCACTTGTCCTCAAGCTCCCAATCATCCAATGGTCAGCCAGTCATCCCATGCCTATGTACCAGTCTCCATGCTTCCTGGCCACTTTCATACCACCAATGAACCTCAGGAGCAACTGCAGCTCTATGCTCCGAGTAGGGTAATCCCATTCCAATGCCATCATGCCTATAGGAATCAAGAGCCTCTAGAACTGATAGTACCTCAGTGTAAATTAACAGAAACCTCTCTGCAGAAAGATGGGCATGCTCACTTACAACTCTCTGAGCTCCAAGGAGAATGTAGCAAGTCTCTAGGCAAGAATGAATTGTGTTTCCCAGGACATTTATGTGAAGGGGTTCCACAAAACTTTCAACTAAGGGAGGACATAAAGAGGAATCTTGGGTATATCCTAGAGAAGAGTCCAGAAGACAGCCCACAAAGGGTCTCAGATTGCTACTTAGTAAACCGTCTGAGGGCGGCCTCAGAGACAAAAAATAACTGTGTGTGTCACTCGGGGCACTTAGGAAATAAGTTATTAACTGTCTCAAGGAAGGGCATAAGCCAGAATAAAGTTAAAGCCATTCTTAGATTACATTTGAGCAAGAAGTCTTTGCAGATCACTGAGGGTAGAATCCCTATAAGTGTGTGTCATTCATGGATGGCCGAGAACAACACATGGCCTCCTTATGGGAATTCCCACACCAATAAGAAAATTACAAATTCAAAAAACACAATGTCTGGTAGAGTCTTCTGTCAGATTACCACTCCAGAGCTTTCTTTTCTTGATCCCAACACTCGGCAAGTGCTCGAAGCCCATATTATAAGGTTTCGTATGAATCAGAGATGGGGCCTCCCACTAAAGGTTATTCAGTCCATAAAATTCTATACAGCAAGAGAAGGTAAAACATGGCCTCTTCCCCAGTTTGACTGTACCCCCTCAGCCATGCATATTTCTAACGAAGCTTCCGAAGCTGAGGTTTTCAAGCCCCTTGAGGGAAGCTCCAAAACTTTTCAGGGAAACAAGTTGAGAATAAATTCAGTTGGTATCCTGGAGTCTCCTCTCCCGGCTTTCCCACATGCAAGCTGGGGAGGACAGGGGATCATGAAAACATCACATGCTGGTATGGAACATAAGCTTGCAGAGAATGTCCAGAAAACTGTATGTGGCAGGCAGACTTTTCAGCCACTCATGCACCACATCATAGACAAAGGGAGACAGAGTGAGATTGTACTGAACAACAGATACTGCCCAAATGTGCCCAGGAAATTAGCTGGAGCTGGATATAAGCCCAGGGGTGAGAATGTGAGTTCCTGTGATAGAGCAAAATTGATTCAGGGCCAAAAGGCAGTGGCGGAAAATTTAAAATATTTTCCCATCTCCACAATGTTCAGTGAGCCATGTGCAATGAAATCACAACCTTGTGACATCTTGACAACTCAGGAGTTGGGAGTCTCCCAAATGATAAATCTCAATATGAGTAAAGAAGAATTTCCCCTGACCACTGAGTGTCCCTCACCAAAAATAGTAAGTCTCCCAAATTCTAAACTATCAAACCTGCAAAAACAGCTCATTGATGAGTTAAAACTTAAATTGAAGAGCAGGGAGCAAAGCCGCACTCAAGGCTGTCCCACTGACATGTCCCTTACTTCAGATAGCTTTCCTTCCCCAGCCTCACCCACTTTGCCCCAGAGCATCTCCAGTGGGCACATGGGTGCGTCCAAGGGGCCTCATGTCCACTTTGAGGTCAGCACAGAGCTCAGGCAGGACTCCTGGGTCCCTAAGAATGTCTTACAGAAGTGCCAAGATATCAATTTACCACCAGTGACTAAGAAAGTGAAAACTTTGGATTCCAAAGCAGAAGAACGGAGAAGTGAGGATTCAAGTGCATGGACATCTAAAGCTAAAAAGAAGAGCCACCCTGTTAAAGACAGAGAATTAGAGGGCACTTTCCAAAATGAACAGCTTCCTCCTGATAGTTACTTCAAAAAAAAGAGGAGGGAATTTACTCAGTGGGTCAATTGCAAAAGAAAAAGTAAAGAGCCGGAAACTCGCCAGCAAAAAACCAACGTCATGCCAACCTTTACACAGGAACATGACTTAGCTGAAAGCTCAACTATCTTTTTGGATTGTGGGTTTCCTGAAGCTCATGAGCTCGTGACAACCATTGGAAAAATCCTAGAGGAAAAAGTGGCAAATAATCCTGAATTTCAGGCTTTCCATTTAAGTCAACAGAAGTAGGACCTGCAGGCCTAGGAAGAGCCTGACAAGGGACATCCCTCCAACTATAGGGGGCTCTCTCTGACTCACTACCAAGAAGAATGTGCAAGTACCAAATGCTGTAACCAAGAATCTGTCACTAAGCAGAGTTTTATTGCAAGTGTTACAAAGAACAGAGTCAGGATCAGACATCCTTGGAAAGTTGTAGCCTTCAAGGACCAGCTACTGTGCCAGAGTCAACATCCTTCCCCAAACTCTCAGTAGCCCATCCAAGACCCACCAGCATGCATCACTTAATGCCAGGCCCCTCCAGCCTCTCTCCCCCCTGATGAAGACACTGCACTCAGAGATTGACTTTTCTTTTCAAACAGAAAACATTTCTCCAGCACTCTCCAGCATCACCAAGGAAAAAAAATTTCTTTAAAGAAATCATTTGGTCCTTGTTGAGAAAGCCTCACAATTTTCATGACCACAAAGCCTCTGATGAAAACAATCTTTCTTTCAAAATACCCAAAGATATTGATCCTGCTCAATAAATGTTTCTTTTAACTGAGTAGGGTGTCTTCTGTGTATTGCACTGGGTCTTGGGTTTTTCATATCCATGGACTTGTGCTTAGAAAGATGAAGGAGTCATTTCAGTTCTAACTGATTTTCTCTTTTTGTTTCTAAAAGATGATCAGTCCCTTGTTGGGAGTCGAGGTGGCCTCAGTTTTATCCTGGGATCCTTTATTTGACTCTGTTCAGATTTCCTGTAGTTAAAAACACTATTTTCTCATAGAAAGTACAAAAAGTTTACTCTAACACCTTTCAGGCATTTCCAAAATGAGAAAAACCCTAAAGTCCAACTTGGCTTATACTGTCTTTTTATTTGCTCCCTCACATATAGCTAGAATCCTCTCTTGTTACCTCCCAAAAGTTTTGGAATTGGAAGTGGGAAAGGAAGGGTGTTTAGGAGCAGAGGGTGGTGGTAGGGAGAAATCTTCCTTTTAGGTCTCTTAGTGAAGAATAAATGTCACCTGTTCCTAAGAGCTCTTCTCTCCCTCATAAACTTTGGGGTGATAGGTTATGTTTCCCACCGCTAAATGTATTCTAATGAAAATGTGTAGCAGTTCACCATTTCCCATTCCTCTTCACTTACTGGAACAGAAGGGAGGACAGAACTTGCATTTATGAAAAGAACCAGAGATAGGAATAATTTCCTGAAAATAGTGGCTAACTTTTATTTATGTGTAAGAGTGGTCACCAGGAAGCCACCCAGAATTTGGGAGAAAGGGAGACAAATAGTAATGAAAATTAATGGTGGAGTGAGTGGGAAAGAAGAAAAGAATGAGGAGAAAAATAGCATTACAACTCATGACCCCATTCTGGCTTTCCATTCCACCAAACATTATTTTATCTTCAGCAAACCTCTTGGAGACTAGCCAGGGCTTGGTAGAGCACAATGATACAATTTTAGCAAAAAAAAAAAAAAAAACACAAAAAAACAAAACAAAACAAAACAAAAAACACGTGGGATAATCACTGAGTATGAAAACAGTATCTCCAAGGATGTTGGGAGGCTGCCCTCCCTCCTACTTGGTGCCTACCTTACCAGCCAGACTATATGTTACACCAAGGTTCTAGAAATTTAGGGTTGTTTTAGTTAACTCTTGCTATATAATGGATACTTCAAAATTTAGTGCTTTAAGATACACAAATTTATCATCTCACAGGTTTTGTGGGTTAGGTATGTTGAACCAGCCTACCTGGATTCTCTGCTTCAGAGTCTCTCAAATGTTGCAATTACAGTGACAGCTGGGCTCGGGTTTCACCTGAAGCCTCAACTGGAGAAGGACTCTCTTGTGTGCTCACTTTTGTAGCTGTTGCTGGGATTCAGTTCCTTAAGGCCTATTGGATTGAGGTACTCAATTCCTTGCTGGCTGTTGGCTATTGTTGGCTATAGTCCTCATTTCCTTGTCATGCGGGCCACTCCAATATGGCAGTTTGCTTCATCAAAGCCAAGAGAGAGTCTGCTATAAAGACAGAAGTTACAATATTTTATTAAGACATCCTATCACTTTATCCTGAGATCCAGAAGCAAGGAAATAAGCCTATACACAAGGGGTAGGGTAATTTACTCACGGTGTGAATTAGGTATTCATATCATCAGAATCTTCTTAGAAGTCTTCCTAACACAAGGTTTTCTTCCTGGATACCACACTAAGTTCACCCAAGCACAAGTGGCCAAAGTTGCCAAGTGGATCCTCATCCTCAACTATACCAATACCATCAAGGTCAAAACTGTTTAATTGCTAGAGATAGTGGTTTCTGGTAAGAAAAACATCAAAGAATTGGAACTTCCAAAGAAAGAGGGATAGGTGGTAAAGGTATTATGGCATCATCATGAATGGTAAAAAAAAAAAAAAAGAAGAAGCCCTTAGTACCTCCAGACTCATCATAGACAATATCCAGACTTAGAAGAGAGGAAAAATAAGGTTCATCCTGGGTCCACTACAGTCTCTTCACTCTACCCTGGCTCCCAGACCATAAGCCTAAAGATGCAACCTTCAGTTCTTGTAGAGGTATCCTGTTTGTGAAAGTACCTCAAGAGCAAGCAAACCATATAGGTTACAAGATTTAATTTCTGTTCTTCTTAGTATAGTTAATATAGCACATATATTATTTCATGTTTAATTCTTACAATTTGACCATAAGAGAAAATGAGTCATCCAACCGATAGGAAAGTCAGTATTGTATTAAGGAACTCAGACCATGTATGTCCCCTTGTAGAATGTTTTCTATGTACTCATGGCCCAAGGATTTTGAATCAACAAAGATGTGGTGGCTTAAGGCTTGAGATACGTGGTTTGGAATCATATAGCCAATCAGAGAAACACTGAATGAGGTCATGAGAAAGAACTTGCACACTCAGAATATCTAGCAAGTGACCTGTCCAAATGAAGTGGCAGCACTGTCCAGGAGTGATCACAAACCCTTGTTCTGCTTCTAGGATGTTTTTTCCATTTTCTCAGACATTTTTCCTATGGGAAAGCAGGACCATTATAGGAAGCAGGAAAGTATGTTAGTTGAGAAGATGATTGGAGAGATGAGGATCAATTTCTCTAGAATAACATTTCATGTGCTTTGTGCCCACACTCATGGATCAATGTTATAGAATTTTTTTTGGGGGGGTATCATTTACATGATATAGTGTGGCACCTGAAGAATTGTCACTAACATTCAATGGGAATGCACTACCACATTTTTTACAATCTGATGCTCACACCATGATGGACTAGTTCCTTCACCTGGACTGGAGGTGGGGACCCTGGACCCCAACTTTATGTATTGAGAATATCTCTGGTGCCAGGTGGTGCCTAAGAAAATAAGATTCCTTGAGGCAGCCTTCAGAGAGATTAACACTGAAAACTATGTTCCATTCTGTAGTCTCAGTGAAAAAGCCCAGATTATAAACCCTTTTCTTGAATCCCTTTTTCTAGAACCTCCATTGTCCCTGAATAGGTGTGTGTATTAGGCTATTTTCCCTGGGGCACAGGACATACTTAGTTTTTGTTAGGGAGACCACTGTGGAGACTGTCTTCTTGTCTCAAGAGTCACAGGGACTGTTCCTTCCTTCCTTGAGGGGGACTGGGTGTTCATAAAAGAAACATTATTATGCAAGTTTAGCAGTGCTTCACTGTGGGACAGAGGTTAGGTTGACAATGACAAGAGTGCGTAATTTTCCTGTGCAGTGATTCTTGTCCAGCTTTAGGCCATTTTCATTTGAGGCAGGACATTTTACCAAGGTACCGATGTTCCTACTCTCTGCCAGAGGGGACTCTGAAGGAATAAAAATTAACTTTCCTCTTTTGTCTTACAGGAAGTTCTGGGCTTGGTCTCTGGGATTATTAATGCCTACCATGTTTCCTGACCCAAACAGAAGTTGTGAGGCACCTATTGTACAGTCCTGTGCAAACTCTCACATGTGAGGAACATTTAGTGGGTGTTCCCAGGATAGAAAAGATAGGGGTTCACACAGTTGTTGGGTTGAAATAAGGATAGTTGCCTAAAGGTAGCAGTGGCTCCAATAATTTGAGAATCCTATCTCATAAAAGAGTAATATGCAAATTGATAATCACTCCAACACATAAGATGGCAGCCCCATGTGGACACAAGATGGCTGCCACAAGATGGCTGGCATGGGATGGCAGTTGGGAGGGACCAGGCCTGCAAGGAAGGGCAGTTGGGGGCAATCAGGCCTGCAGGGGAGGATAGTTAGGGGTGACCAGGTGGCAGGGGAGGGCAGGTAGGGGCAATTGGGCCCACAGGGGAGCAGTTAGGCATCCGATCAGGCTGGCAGGGGAGTGGTTAGGGGGCAATCAGGCAGGCAGAAGTGGTTGGGGCAATCAGGCAGGCGAGTGGTTGGGAGCCAGCAGTCCTGTATTGTGAGAGGGATGTCCAACTTCCCTCAAGAGGTCCCAGATTTGAGAGAGTGCAGGCTGGGCTGAGGGACATTACCCCCCTCCCCCCATGTATGAATTTCATGCACTGGGCCTCTAGTAGGGATATAAAGATAGGTTCCTTAAGATGGGTTCCTTAAGAAACCCATGTGAAAGTTCTTTTGCACACAGCACAATTTTTTAGGGGCTGAAATGATGTTCGCTGAGATAACTAATCATCAAGTCCTATTATTTTGGGAACTGTAGTAATACATTGCATTGCAGACAGTTGGCATAGAGACAGTGTAGCCATTGGCCTTTTAATAGGCTAAATAGCCTTGGACATTGAACATCACAGTAACAATTGTGATGGACTTAAGAGCCTCTGCTTTTGCATACTAAAAAAAAAAAAAAAAAAAAAAAAGGGACTCATTTAATAAGTCTGAGAGTAAGGTTGGCCTCTGGAAGGACCGTTCATACTTTGGCTCAATTATGCCATCAAGATTCAATTTTTATCCCCCTTTTTTGGCCCTATACTCTGGACTGGCTTCATTATGAGACTTTCTGTCTGGTAACATCCTCCAAGCTGCTAAAAATAGGTTG